TTGATTTTAATAAAAAACTGCTAATTAAATCCTTAGGAGATTAATTTTAGAGGTAAGCAATTTTTAGCCTGATTTGTTCATTTGCTACTTACCGTTTGGCTAAGAGTAATTTTTTTAGCTTTTGTTCTGTTAAAGAGAGACCGAATTGTAGGTTATCTGAAATCATTCCTCAGTTAGATGCTTGAACCTGAAAAGATTTGCACAATGACTTTGTTCTTTATTATAAGTTATTAAAAAAAGACTGAGAAAAACTAGGATTTGATAAGGAAGAAGTTAAGGAATGAATAAAAATAGGGGCGGAACCAAAAGATTATAACTTTGTCAATTATCTAAAAGAAGTTAAAAATCTTAAATCCCAAGATTTTTTAAATGGCAAAGAAAGCTATGAAAATTATCATAAAGAATCAAAAGAAAAGTGCAATAATTTTGACTGATGCCGAAAATGTGGAATGCTTAATACTAGCAAGAGATGGTGTCAGCCTTGTGCGGAAGAAAAAGAATGACAGCTCGACATAAAAGGTTTAACTGGACAGGAAGTGATTGAGAAATTTATTCAGAAAATACATGTACCTTGAATTGGTTCAAGAATATTTCACTGAATACCTTATAAAAAACTTGAAGTCGATAACGATGAAAGTGGTAAAGACAAAATTTTAGATGAAGGGGGATTTGCCAGGGTTTATAAAGCTACGTTAAGATGAAGCGAGGATGAAGTCCGAAAAGTAGTTATAAAAATTTTAAAGGATTCTCAAAATATCACTTTAGCATTGTTTAAGAGAAATTGCTAATAATAGGCTAGTTTCTGGCTTATTTATTGTTCATTATTATGGTATCTCCCAAAAGACCCTGATAGAAATTATATAATGGTGATGGACTACATGGAAGGTGGTAATCTGCGACAATTTTTGCAGGAAAGTAAAGGACTAAGTATTAGGTATAAACTTGAAAAATGAGAAAGTATTCCTATGGGGCTAAGTGTTATTCACGAACAAAACTTAATTCATCGAGATTTACATAGCGGAAATATATTGTTTGGTTATAACGTTCTTTGGGCTTCTTATTTAAGAAAAATTAGAGGTTTTATCACTGACCTTGGTATGTGCCAACTGCTGGTTATCAAAAAACAATAGGTGGTTATCGAGAAGTAATCGAAGATATTAAATTCCACTTAGAGAAAAAGAAAGAAAGTTCTAAGCAATCCGTCCAAGAACTTACGCAAAAGAATCAGGGTAGTGAGCCGCAAAAGTATACTCTCAATTTTTCTCGGGAATATACTAAGGAAGATACCTATGACTGAGGCATTGAACTCTCGGCCGGAATAGAAACCGGGATTAGAACGGGAGTACCTTTGCTGGCAGAAGGAGAATTGTCTCTTAAATTGGAAGCCAAAGTCTCTCATGGGAGGAGCCATACTCAATCCAAGACTGAAACTATAGAAGGAATGTTAGAAGTAAATTGCCCCGCTAACTCCATGGTAGTAGCCAAAGCAATTTTGCAAGAACATAATTTAGAGATTCCGATTACTACAACAATTTCTTGCTATTTGACTGATAAAAGCGGTAATGAGAGGAAGTACACTTACAAAATAGATGGAACTTTTAAAGGAAAATATACCAAAGCATTTGTTAATTATGAGAAGGCAGTTTCTTTGGAGCAGCAAGGTCAAGTTGTTCAACCAACCACCTTTCCTTTTAATCCAGATAAATAAGCAAAGAGTCAATTTTTGCACCACAGACTAACTTTTCAAATCCAAAACTATATGAATGGCTTTTTCTACTTCTTCTAAAACCGACCAAGAGATTTTCCCCCAAGCATTATTTTAATGTTATTTTCACGTTAAATAACCAAAATCATCCTTTGTTCTTTTTCTTGGATTAGTAGCGTTTTGTTGGGTTTTTCACCACTGATAGAGGAGAAAACTACTGCCAAACAGGGATAAAATGATAGCAATGGTGGTTATTCATTGTCAAATTTTACTTTTAGTCGGTTTTTTGGTTGGATTATTCATGCTAATTTTTACTTTAATCCTAAAAATATAAATATGTGGTGCTAAAACTACATGTATAAATGTCAGATTATTTTCTTTCCCACGAAGAAGAAGTGCTAGAAACTGACCAAGGATATATCATTAAGCTTCGTTTGTTAAGTAAAAGATTTTTCACTAAGCAATCAGCGGAATTTCCTGAAAATTATAAATTTAGTTGAATTGCTTTTAATATCGATAATCCTAATGAGCGAATATTATTTGATAATCATCCTGGTAAGCCACCGCATTATCATCTTGATAAGCAACCAAGCGTTTACTTTGAATGAGTTTCCTTGGCAGCCAGTAGAAAGTTATTCTTCCAAAAGGTTTATGAAAGATTTGGCTATTTTGATTATGAGTAACAATATGAAAGACAAAAAAAAAGAATTTATTTTCCAATATGACCCACTGGCTTCGCCTAAAAGGATGTTTGACCGCTTTGAAGAGGCTATTAAAACTGGTAAAAAACATATCCAGCCCAAAAATGTCATGATTGCTAACCGTCTCGAAACTATTTATCGAGTAGCCAGCCAAGTTAGAATGGATTTATTAGCCTGTTTGGTAGACAAGCAGCCGGCTAACATTCAAGAATTAGCCCAATTACTTAATCGTGATTATGCTAATGTTTGGCGAGACTGCCAAGCCCTAAATAGTTTAGGAATTATTAAGTTAAAAAAGGTCAGTTTAGATGCCAAAAAAGCCCAAATTCAGCCAATTGCTTTATATGAAAAAATTATCATTGAATTTCCAATTAAGCCAGTGAGAGAAAATGTTGCTGCTGTGCCTTTGGGAGTATAGTTTTAATTTTTTTTATGCTTAGCAAGGTAGAAAAATCGAAAAGGCGAAAAAAGCAAAATCAACAAAGAAATTATTGCCAAAAGAAAAGGAGTTATAACCTCTCAAAAAAAAAGCCATATCCATTACATCGCTCAATACCTAAAAGACACAAAAGCAAGCAAAGGAAGCAAAATAATCAACAGCAAATCTCACCCAGTAATTTTCTTTTTTCGTCAAAGGTGAACACCCCTAATTATTAAAACCAAAGAACAGAGCAAATATAAGAATGAAAAAGTTATTGCTAATCCAAGCGTCCTCGCTACATTATCAGGCATCATTACATTATTTTACAATCCTTAAATGGCACCACTGTTTTGGCTTCGTATTCAGTTTTGATTTGTTTGTATCAGTAGCCAGTTCTTTTGCCTAATTCATTATTAGTTTCTTTAATTTCCTCAGTTAATTTGATAATTGAACCTTTGCTGTTATTAACTGTTTTTAACTCACATCCACTACAAATTTTGCAATCTTTTCACCCCCAGAAAGTCCTATTACGTTCGTTTCATGTCTGCCTAGAATAATCAACGCCAAAAGCAAAACCATTCGCATGATGTTCGCAATTATTATTAGGCAAGCAATATCAACCTTTATCATAGTCATTTTCTCAGGCTCAATCAATCTGTCGAGCTATCAGTTCATAGTGCTTAAAAGGGAGAACTGGATGATAAGCGAATATCTCACCTTGTATATGGTTCACAGTAAAAGTTTCTCAATCAGTAATTATGGTTCTGTTCGTTTCTCTTCTTTTGCTCTCTGAACTAAAATGACAAACTTGCTCATCACCTAAATAAACTCCTACATGCCAATAGCGAACTCCAGGAAGTGCTGCCTTCCTTACCCAAACTACATCCAAAGGTTTTAAATAACCATCGGGGTTTTTATTAGGAACCCCTATTTCTACCTCGACTGGCATGCTTATCGAGTTTGGTTCTCCATGATGATGATCTAATGAAGGAGCAGCATCAATAAGTTCAACTCTAGTTTCCGTTTCGCAAGGTAAATTAATCACCCTCACTTGTGGTTCACCAACCAAATTAGCAAAAGTAGTATATTCGTTTGCTTTTCAATGAATATCAGCAAAAGGACTAATTTGATTATTATTATCACAGAGTTTATCTTTTATTTCACAGGCTCTTCTTTGTGCTCCTATGAAGAGTTCATGGATTCAAATATTCATGATGGCTCAATATTCTTCTACTTCATCTCCTCTTTGAGGCTCATAAATAATTAGCCAAAAACGAAAAGGATATTTAGTGTTATGGACATTATCCTTATTTATCACATAACCGCAATTACCATTAAATCAACTCTTAAAAGTATCTATTTCTTGAATATTCGGAATATCCTTTTTTTCTTCTAATTTTGCTAAGCAAGTTTGGTGATAAAGACAATAATTTTTTTCTCCAATTATTTCCTCCGGGCAAGAAACCGCTTGACACTTAAAGTCATTCTCTCTTAAAAACTTTAAAACATTTTTTTTACTTTGAAAAACTTTGACTTGGGGTTGTGCTTCCACTGCTAAGACAATAATATTATCTCAATAAAGCTCTCCTAACGGGGTAAGGGAAGAAGCAATTCCTCGGACGTAATTGGAATTAGCGTTAATCTTGCTCTTATCAAAAGTAATATAGCACTCTTCGCCATTCTTAATTTTGTGGTCTAACTTCTCACCTGTTCACCCTGGCGAAGACTGATTAGTGTTTTTTCCGGTAAAAGAAATCACTGACTTTTTGTGACCATCGTTGAATAATTGGGTTAAATGTTCCGCTAAGAAGGGCTTTACTTGCCGAAGATTAGGAACTTTTTCCGAAACAACTTCTCCACTAACATCACTAACTGTTTGGGGAATGGTTTCCACTTCTTTACCAAGGTTGAAAACAAAATACTTCTTTAAATCTAATCTTTTTTCTTGGAGGTATTTTTCTAGTTCTTGGTCGGAGAGTTTGGATTTAGGAAGCAAATCATCAGGGTTAAAAATGCCTAATGACAATCTAATAGCATCAGCGAGAGTTTGGGCTTCGTCTGCTTCCGAATTGGTTTCTTGGGATTTTAGATATTCTTGGTGCTGCTCTTTTAAAGTTTCTAAATCACCAAAATTTAAAACTTCTTCTGGGCTACAAGAAATAATATCTCGCAAATAAACGGCGAATAAGAAATCAGTAGGTTTCAAGCCAATATTAATTCATTCCTTAGTTTGTTCCGGAGTAAATTTTCGGTTGTATCATTCTCATTGGAGTTGGTTAGTGAGGTCAGGGTAAATATCTTTTCATTCGGTCATGGCTGTTTTTATTTATATAAATATTTTAAACTTTCTTTCACCACCCTTTTTGTTCCTTATTTAAAATTACCAATGGCATAAAATGGTATAGAATAAAAATCTAATATACCAACAAATCATGCCAATTAGCCAAGGAAACCAAGCAAAGAAAAAAATGGCAGGTAATACATTACCTAAAAAACGAGATAGAAAATCCTACTCCGCCCAGAGATACCAAGCCAAAAAGCAAGAGTATCACGAGCGATATCTCAAA